CTATTGGCATGGGTGCACTATTTTGGCATCAGAAGTGCAAATGTGTCCCGAACACCATGCCAGAGGGATCATTGGGCCATGAGGGCCATTCTGGCGACTTTGCCTCTGAATTGGGGTCATCAGTGGAATTAACTCCTGTGCTGATTCCCCCAACCAGGGGGAGGAAGGGAAGCAGTATCCCCAGCCACTCTTGCACTGGTATGTCATCCTTGATGCAACTTTGGCCAGATCTGGTAAGAGTGCTTTCCACATGATAAAGAAGTAACTCAGAAACACTCTACTGGCTACAGTTACTCTTGTAAGGACCAATAATCAATGGAGCTTGAATGCTCTGATTTTTCTATTAGAGACATATTACTGACACTTTGGTGTGGATCTATGTGACAGTACTATTGTGCCATTTGGGGAATTGGCTGCATGAGTACTGCTTGCCCCCAAGTCACACTGCAAGCTGTTCTTCTTTCACAACAAGATCTCTGCTCCTGCTCTTGTGCTGGCAGACATTGATTGATGAAGCAGGCTCTCTGCCCTCTTGAAGCATCAGATATTTCCTGTTCAGTGGTTGTATGATGTTAAGAGCTGAATCTGATTGCTCCTTATCTTGGTGGCTGACATGTTGTTGACCAAGAACAGGATGTGATGTTCTCTCTATGCATGATCAGCAATAGCACATAAATGTTTATGTTCAGAAGATAGGACACATCCAATATGCAGCAGGAATGCAATCTCTGCCTGATTCGTTACAGAAATACATGTACCATTTGATTTACACTGTGTAGCATGCTTGCATCTTTCCAAATGTGCAATAATGGGCAATCATGTTGCAGATATCCATTCATGCATTTATGAAGCTCTGCTCATATTGCCTAGATATTGCTCAGATTACTCCTGCTAGCTGTACTGTGCACATGTTTTGCTGGATGCCATCACAGTGCAACAGTCAGGAAAGTTTGGCATCTGTTGACCCTCTGATAAGATCCACCATCCTTGGCCTCCTTTGATCTGGCTGTCTGGTTCACCTAAAATGCTTGCAACCCACCTGCTTGACCACGATGCTCTCCAATATCTCAAGTATTGCTTGTCTAGACAATGCTGTGGAGCGATGATAGAAATAGGTGAGTTTGGGACCAGTCAGTGCAAACTTTCCTCTGGATTTATCACCTCTGCTGGTGATACCCATTAGACATTTCATGTTCTATGATGATTGTTGTAAGATATATATCTCAAAATGGTTGCTCCCCTATAGGAAGCCAATTTGGCCCTATGTCCTGACATGTCACATACACTCATACAGCAGTTCCATGTCACACAGTTAATTTCCCTGTTCCCAGCAATTGCACATAGTGTTACAGTGTTTCCTGCTGACTGAAGAAACACTTGTTTGATGCCTTGTTCTTCATCAACTACAAACACCTGAACTTGGTTTTGAGCACATTCATGGCACACCAATTGGCACACCAATGAAACTCTTGTACACCTTACCAGCATACTTTCTCTGGAGGGTGACACAATGATCTAAGCCATTCATTTACTACCATGATCCTAGATATGTCAACTGGACCCAGGTGCTGGTGAAAATGTGGTGATATTGATGCATACATTTAGACATCAGGACCTGTGAGACAAGCTACATAAAAACATGGAATGCACCTCCTGAGACAGAGTGCACAACAGTACTCCCCCTCCTGCCCCCTAGAAAAGGAGGCCATGTGGCTTACTTATGTTATGGATAATTGATCACTGCGGTTCCGTGAATGTCGTCACCGCATTATCACCAAGAAATCCTCCCTTCTTGCATTCTTCGTCAGATTCGCGCTCATGCGATGTTGCAAACAGGGAGAACTTTTTCTGGAAAAAGGATAATGTAATGCAGAACATCTCACAAAGAATGAAACCCGTGCCTCCACATGTTCTGGACGTCCATTTCTCTGAGGTGAAATACACAACACATTGCACCTGACAACATGTATCCGTCTTGGGATAGCCAGTATCACGAGATGCGGCGGCGGCGTGCAGTGAGAAGAAAATTGAGACGGTAGCTCTACGCGCTGCACTTTCACTCCACCAAGCAAGCATAGTCAGACAGGGTACTAACCTAGTTCTGCAACACAACATAGAGAACTGTTTTTAAAGCTCTATCGTCACGTTCGACAAGAATGGTGCATGAGATTTTGAGGTCTCGCCGTTAAGACAACCTCCTTCCACCTTGTCCCGAACAAACCCTAACCTGCTGCCGCTGCTAACCAGTACGAGGTGGTGAATACAGCCAGCTTTTTTTTTATCGTGAACGTTTCGGCGACAAAATTGTTACATTTGTCGACCAGGGTTTTTTGCCCCCGACGCCCGTGATTCCTACATCCCAATCTGACTGATCTAACTTTGTTGCAGTCCAAGTACTCTCCTGAAGGCAAGCGGTCTGGTGTGCGAGAGTTAATCGTCAGTATGTCTACCCTTTGGGTACGTGCCTTCTCGGGTAGCTGTCTACATCGCACTCATGTATGTGTAGACCGAACACCGCAACTCAGAGGGTCGTACCTATT